GTAGTAGTATGTTTTTAATAATTATAATAAACTATTTATATATATATATATATATAAACTAAAAGTAATATAATTAGTAATAAAGTCTATGATTTTTTTTATAATTTTTATTTATATACAAATGAAAAAGATAATATTCATTTGTATATACATATATATATATATATGTATGTATATTTTTAAATTTTAAAAGTAATATAGTTAGTAATAAAGTCTAATTTTTTTTTTATATAATTTTTATTTACACACAAATGAAAATTATTTTTTATCAAATTATAATATTTAATAAAAATATCTAAACTATTTTTTTAATTAATTCATCTACAATTGTTTTTTGAAGTAGACATTTAAGTGTAATATTATAGAATATCAAATATTTAATACAAATAAAATTAAAAATATATTTAATTTTTTATTAAAATATCTGATATTCTATATATATATATATATCAAAACTCTATATTATTCATGCTCTATAATATTTTTTTGAATAACTTGATCTTAGATCCTGCTTTATTCAAAAAAAGTATGTTTATTCTTTATTTAAAATAAGTCCAATTAATTATATCTTAAGTCTTAATGTTTTGAATTTATTTTTTGGTCTTATAAGTATCTTACATTTATTTTAAAGTATTGTAAGGTAAATCAAAATTATTTTTGATATTGACGTATAAAATAATATAAAAAATTAGATTTTAAATTAAGATTCATTATATTAAATAATATACATTGAATTTGAAATGTTAAATCATCTTTGTTTGAAAGTACAAATTATTTTTGTCTTATATGTATCAAACTTCTTAAATTATATATAAATAGACTTTAATTGTCTTTTTCTTGGGTGTTAAATTATTTAGCAAATGTTTGATTTGTAAAATTATAAAATAATTAAATATATTGATTCTAACATTTAATTTATTATTTATGAGATTAGAAATATAAATTTTTACAAAGATTTGTCTTAACTCTTTGTCTTTTGAAGCAATTCATTTATAAAAATTATTATTTTCAATGTCTTAATTTTTATTTAGAATATATTGTATGGTCGTTATGTAGTTTACTTCTTATTTATTAATTTTTATCAGATATTTCAAATTTTTTTGTTTATTTGCAATAAAAAAAAATGTATTTAGAACTATATGACACTATATACAACACATGACATAATTATATGTATTTTTAAAATATTTATAGACTACCATTTAAATCCTTTATATAATTCTTTAGAAGATACTTTAAAAATAATTATAATTTATTCAGAATATGAATCTGTACTATTTATAACAAAATAATTAATTTTTAATAAATTTATATAATTTCTTTTGTAGTTTTATCTTGAATTATAAATAATTACATAATTCCAACAACATTGTTGTAAAATAAACATTAAACATAGATTATATTATAGATATCTAAAATTTATGATTTGAATTTAAAATGTTACATGTCTAATAGTGAATATATATATATATATATATATATATATATATATTATTTTTAGCACTACATCCCTAATAGATATTGCTGCACTAAACTTGCCACTAAACTACTTCCCTAAAGAAACTCCAAATTATTTACAAAATTTGTCAAGATTACAAGGACCACATCTAAGTATTAAAAGATGTTGCTTTGATTGAGAAGCTAAGTGTAGATCCTAAGGAATATTTGAGATGGAACAAGTATGCTATGGCATGTTGTTGTGGCTTGGTTTTGTTTAGGATGCTCATGCATACATGCTAATTATTAAAAAAATGGTTGTAGAAGTTTTATTTATTTATTTAACAATATATCCATAAAATTTTGTGATTATTAGAACATGAAAAGATTTTTTAAAATTTTAAATATAGAAAAAAAATTATAATAAAAATTAGTATACAAGGTCATCATAGCAAGTCAACAAAGTGCCAATATGAATAAAAATAATAGCAATTAAGTTATTAAGAATTTTAATTTTATTTATAATTTTACATATTCAAGAATCACTGTTATTTTTAAGTTAAATAATGTATTAATTTTTAAATTTAATAATAAATAATATTAAAATATTCATCCAGATGTTGGCATGTATACATTGTTAACTAATTTATTAATATTTTTATTTTTTAATTTTTACAAAAATAAAGAATGATCTAATCTATTTCAAAGGCCACACACAAACACACACATCTATATATATATATATATATATATATATATATTTGAGTTTATATAAAACCATTAAATAACAAATTTGTGCTTCTTATTTTCTTTTTCTTTTTCTTTTTCTTTTTTTCTTTTATTCTATTTTACCAAAGTAGACCAATGTGTCACTTCTTGTAAATATTTACTGATTCTTAGATAAGAGTGTTTTAAAAAAAAATTAAAATAAATCTAACAAAGAAATGCAAAAAAATCCAAAACACTTTAGCAACTTAGTATAAAAGATTAAAAAAATTATAAGGTGTAAATAATTTTTTAATGAAATCATTTTTTATATGACAATATATATCTATATAGTTTTAAAAAATTAATAACATTAATTAAGTTAATTACTTTCAACAATGAGTTTTTGGTTACAACTATTAACAAGTCAATAAAGGACAATAATTCAAATATTATTAATTAAAGTAGTTTTACAAAACTTTCGGTGTTTCCTTAACCAAAATCTTTATACCATACCAAGTCTTCATTTGTTATACAGGCATATAATTTATATCCAAATAATATTTCTAATGTGATGATTACTATCTATTAAAGTGAAATAATATGTATTTTGATATCATTGTCTGATTTGCTGATGAGTAGTTGTAAAATTCTGCTTGAAATTTAGCAATCTATTATTTTCTAGAATGATTTAATTACATTTGAGAATTTTACCTCCACAGTATAGTTACATAAAATAGCTTCCTTGTTACTCATATTGCCAGGATTTAATATGAAAACTAAATAAAAGTTTCTGACATAATTTATTGTTAATAAACATTCTAATTTATCAACAATCTAAATTCATCAAAATTAGAATGTTTAGATTGTGAAATTTATCAACAAAAAAAATTCAATAGTATTTATACCATTTCATAAAACATTTAGAGGTTTTTAAAAGTTTCTGTAAGTAACATAGAAAAACTAACTGTTTGAAGATATTTCTAAGAGCCTTGTGCAAATCTTTTTCTTTCTAAGAAATTATAAAGTTACTGTCTTTTCATATATTTACATCTATTTAGAAGAATCGTATTATTATTTTTGTTTGAAATTATCGTTATATTTGGAAATCTGTAACTTTTCATTTATCATTCACAATAAATTATTCTTTTGTAATTATGATCTTGTGTACATATAAATTCAATTCACGTTTACTTTTACTTAAATCCCATAAGTCTCAAACATCATTTTAAAATCTTATTTTTCTATATGATGTCACAAATGTTTGTTGTTCTTTCAAAAAATAATATTGTAAAAAATGCCTATATAATATCAATTATAAAATACAAAAAACCAATTTGACTAACATTAAATACAACTACACATACAACTTCTTATGGAAAATATCATGGCATTTTAGTTTTGGATAAGTATTAAAACCTTTGTGATTGTAGAAGAGGTTGATACTACAACTAAATGGCCTTTAAAAAATGGTCAAGTCAATCAATCGGATTATATTTTATTATGTAGAAATGTAATATATTAATTAATGTTTGAATCTTAAATTTATCACTGGTATAAAAGTGATCCAATGAATAGAAACAAAAAAAATAGAAACAAAAAAAAATTAGTGCATTTCTATGTACAAGTATTATATCATTTGTTAAAAATAAAAATAAAAATAAAAACATCGAAGTCCATTCTTAATTTTAAAAATTACTGAAAAATTAATTGTATGATTAAAACATTTTGTGAGATACTCACCCTGTGCAATTATTTTCTAACTATTTTAACATCTCAGTATTAATTAAAAACTCAATTTATATGTATTAGTATGATTAATAATAATAAATTGGGGTTTGGCATGTGGCTACACTGAACATGGACATGGGAGGATTAATGTCTGATTGATTAGTTGAGGTTGAGAGAAAAAGAGAGAAAAATGAGAATGAGTGAATGAGAGAGAGAGACTCATGAATGAATGCACCGAGGGAGGGAGGGAGGGAGGGACTAATGCTGCTTGCTGCGTTAGTATATCCGACCATTCATTCACGAATTCATTCCCATTCCCAACAACAACTATAACAACACTGTTAGTGTGTGTATGTGTGAGTGAGGGTGTGTGCATCACACACACTCACACTCACACCCACTGATCACCGAGATGTTGATGATGATGATAATGATCGGGCACCGAGCTGCAAGAAATCCCAACTGCACTTGGTTTTAGGGTGAGCAGATTGATTGATTGATTGATTGCTTGACGGATTGATGGATGGATGGATGGATGGATTGAAGCATCGGGCAGCAGCAGCGCACGGAGGAGGAGGAGCAACAGCCGCGACGACACACCCACACCCACACGCACATGGATTTTTATATATATATATATATATATATATATGGATATATTGCACAGTCGCGAATAATAATAATAATAATAAAAACTGGGTCTGTCTCATGGGACACTTTCTGGAATTGTTGAATGTCACGGTGGCATCATTCTGGAACGGAAATAAAAATAAAATAAAACAAAATTGTAATACACACGTACATGTGAATTATAGGGGCACAGGCAGGTGCCGCGTTGCTTGGGTTCCGTGGGTCAGGGACCAATCGAAACTATTAATTTTGCTATTCCTCCTCTCCTCGTGGTTCCTTTTCTTCAGGTGAGAAGAAGATCTGATGCTGCTTGGTTGTTTTGGGGAGCGAGCTTCGCATGCAAATGGGACGCCTTTAAACGCTGTTGACGTGGTCGCCATCGAGAGGGATGACACTCTCGCTATCAGTGCGTTAGTAATAACAACAATAACAATAATGCTCCTCCGCCTGATTCAGTCAAGTCTTTACGGTGTTTCTAGTAGCCAGCTCCATTATTGCGACTCACTGCTGCTGCTGCGTCGCACTGTATCTCCTCCTCCTCCAGCCATAACCGCGATCATTCTTCTTTCGTCGCCAACCTCGCGTGGCCTCGTGCTGATAACCTGCCTGGTGGAACCACCCCATCGGCTGTGCCTGGAGTGTGGAGGCTGGCAGTTCAGCTGCAAATTCACGCGCGGAGGCGTTTTGTGCGTGGAAAGGGACTCGGGGATTCGTTGAGCGGATTTGGAAATTCGTTGACGGTGCGCTGTGGGTTCTAGCTCGCGGGAGCGCTGTGGATTTGTTCCGTGGACGTGTACGCCGTTTCTGTGCTCTGGGTATGGATCTGTTAATCGCTGTCACTCTTCCTCTTCTCCTCGTTCGATAAGTGCCACTTCTGGGAATGTATGTTGAGAGTTTTGTTTGTTAGAGGGCAGTAACGGGCATCCGAAGTTAGGCGCGGCGTAAATGACGAGAGATTATCCTTCTTCCTGTGATCGTTGTGTCCTGTTTGCGTTGAACGGTTTCGAGTCTGCATTGTTTGTAGTGTGACAATTCTTGTTACACGGACTCCAGCCGGTTTGCGAAACAGTCTCCATTGATTTATACTCGCTGAACAACTTCATTGCGTTTTGGGGTGACTTACATTCTAAACCTAGCTCTAGAGATTCGGATCCACCGACACCGTATCTATGTTCTAATCTCTTAATTCACTTACTTAACACGGCATTGTCATCTTTGCAATGAAGCGAGGCGCCAATAAGGCTAAGTAAGTTTTAGAGTGTTAGCGACCTTGTTTGAATGGGGGTCTAATACACATTCGTGGGTGAAGCTACACATTTCTGGCACGGCTTACCATTCACGCCATGCTCATTAGCGTACCTTCCCTATCTGTCACAGGTCCTGTGCGGAGGCTTCAGAATGTTCCTTTACGGAGGTTTTGAGCGGTGATGATGCGCTTCACTAGGCAGCTCCGTTGACGTGAAGGCGCGACGTTGGGAATGAGACATTTCCGCATACGGCGACGACGAGGGCGATCTGATTAACATCACGTGAGTGTTGGTAGTTCGCTGAGATGGGGAAGGGACAGGAAATGGCCATGTGCGATGTAGAGAAGGCGTCCGGAAGGGTTCTTTTGTCCGACTTGGGCGTGCCGAGGCAGAGGAAGTTAGTTTGCATTGCGTTGTTTGTGGCCCTCCTCCCATTTGCAATCATGCGGTCCTACCTGTTCTACACCAGTTCGAATGTTCCTTCGGAAAACAACGGATTCTTTCAAGGACAGCGAGCGCCGGAATCTCTGAACTATAATCCCTCTGGGGTACGTCTATCTTCTCTACCCCTTCAGTTTTCATCTTTCATTCATGCTGGCCATTCAATTCATATGACCAATTTTGTTCCTGCTTTTCTTTCACTCATCCGTTGTTTTAATGACAGGAGGATGTCTCAGAATCGACCGATGTCATGGACTCTCCTAACGACAGCAGCAGCAGTACCCAAACTGACAACGACCCAACGGGGACTGGAAATGAAGTGGATGGATCTGAACCCTCTATTTCTGGAGGAAAAAATAGCAATTCGACTTCTGTAGATGGAGAGGATAATGAATCTGAGGCAAAAGATTCGGGAATGAAGAATCCAAATTTTGGCGAAAGTGATTTCAAATCCACGAACGCCTCTGCAAGCGGTACAGAGGATGGAAACAATGTATCAAGCTCCAGCTTCTTGGAGGACTCAGGAGGGGAGCCTCCAGTGAACAACTCCACCGCAGTGTATAACTCAACTGTTGAGGGGGATACCTCAGTGAACGACACGAGAAGAGCTGACGAATCCTCGAAGGAAGGAAAGACGGGTGAGATTGTGATGGAAGGAACACCGCCAACGCCGACATCCCATGACACTTCATATGGGCCAACTTCTCAAGGTAGGAAGCGTTACGTCTAATCTTGCTAGTGCTTTTATGTCTATTCGTGCAGTACAAGAACCCCCATTGCTGAAGGACAGACTATCAAGCTAAATTCAACTTTGATATCTCAACAGTGAATGACATATTTCGATTACAGGAGAGTGTAATTTAGAGCAAGGGAAGTGGATTCCAGATTCTACGTCCCCACAATACAATAGTACCACTTGCAGGTTTATTCAAGGTCATCAAAACTGCCACAAGAATGGGCGGCCAGACGACGGGTACCTGTACTGGAAGTGGAAACCTGAGCAATGTGACCTGCCTAAAATAGATGCTCCATCCTTTTTGACTGCCATGCGCAACCGTTCCATGGTGTTTGCGGGTGATTCCATCGCTCGTAACCAGTTCCAATCTCTGCTTTGTGTTCTTGTTCAGGTATTTGCTTTGGGCTTTTACATATCTGTAAGATTGTAGCAAATATATTTATGCGCTCGATTAGTGAACTATGTGAAGTACTAATCTAGTCAACCTACAACATCGGTAGCTTTATTGAATGTTTTGTGGTAACTATGAGAGGGTTATTCTTCCCTGCGAGTGAAGCCTACACATGGAACAATTAATGACGGTGAATTAGGAGCTCCAGAACCTTTGCATTCCTTCTTGTCCATGTTTGGTCTGGAGAAGCTCGTAAGAGATGAGGCAGATTCGAAAGATTTACGTTCGCTTCTGGTTATGTTAACTACAGGTGGAGGATCCGAAAAATACGTATCACACCGAGGACGATAGGTTCAATACTTACCTCTTCCGATCGTTCAATTTTACACTATCGATACACTGGTCACCTTACCTTGTGCGTGTGGAGGACAAGTCGATCACATGGCCCGACAACACTACAGAGACAGTGAAGCATATCTATGTTGATGAGCTCGATGAAGTTTGGGTGAAGGCAGCTGTTGGAGTTGACATTCTACATATCTCTACAGGTCAGCATGGAATACTCGCCCTTTTATTGTGTATTACTTGATTGTGTACTACTGTAGAAGTTTTCCATGCAAATTACACATATTAAAATAAAAATAATAATAAAAACTCATTGGAACTAACTCATTGTGAGCAGGACTAAGAAAGAGTTTGGGGTCCAGGGTTGAAGATCACATTTCCAGATTTCAGCTCATGCTATGGTTTTAATTCTTCGGTAGGATCAGGCTGACTTTAGATTTTGGGTTTTCCAGGTCAATGGTGGTACAAGAAAGCCATGTATTTTGAGAAGGGAAATTTATTGGGTTGCCATGGACTGCCGGCTTGTAAAAATGAAATCGGGTTCGATCCGCCTTACAACAAAGCAATAGCTAACATTCTGAAGGGAAGCCTGACGATTCCTGGATTTTCCGGCACCACTGTTTATCGATCGTTCACTCCTGAACATTTCGAGGATGGAGATTGGGACAGTGGCGGCAGATGCCCTCGTACCACTCCCGGAGGTGTACCCATGAGCTTTTTGACGAAATGGATGTATGACATTCAGATGAGGCAGTTCAAGAACACCACAGGTCAGCACTAATCTCCTCCTCTCTGCAGCAGAACAATTCCTGCTCTTTGTCTTCCAGCTCTCACTGTACCCAAAAAAAATAAAAAATCGTCAGATGATAGTTTGTGCGTAGTGATTCCACTTTAAAAAAGCCCTCTCTGCAATTATTTTAAAACCAGAGCAAAGAAAACATTACTTATGTTCATCTTGTGCAGAGGAGCTTGGGGTGGTGGCCAAGGATCGGTTGAAGCTGTTGAGAATAACCCATCTTTCACAAATGCGACCTGATGGACATCCAAACTCGTACCGGACCAAAGACGACAAGGCAAAAGACAAAAGAGGCAACATTATTCCGAACGATTGCCTTCACTGGTGTCTCCCAGGTCCTATCGACACTTGGAATGACATGCTCGTGCACTCTCTCCGAGACGTTATCTTCAAGTGAGACACTCCCCCAAGGGTGTAGAACGATCTAGTATTGAGCACATCCTAAAATGCTCCTAAGGGTGGCTGTGGTGGCACTAACTAGGGTTGATTAATGAAAGCTGATAAACGTACCTGCGCGTGGCCTCGGAACAGGTGCATCAGCATTTTGATCGTCTCACAAATTGCTGGATGCTAGTAAGGCTTAGTATCCATCCGGGTCCTACGATTAAGATTCAAAGACGGGTAGTCAGATTTGAAGCATGCCATCACAGGGCGGAAAAACAGTACCATGTAGTTCAAGGAATCAAGCCAGGAATTTCAGCAGTCATCTCAGTGGTCGAGCAGACGATGAGCTATGAGAATACTAAGTCACCCGGAGATTCAACTGGAGGATTCTTCACATGAATTGTTAGTTGAGGGAAGTGCTGAGGTTTAGGCGATTTTGGAGTGTCATGGCATGCTAATTCATACAGAATGACGAAACCTACAGAAGTGGGTTTGGGTTGTTCCTGAAATTTATGTAATATAGGAAGACCTTCAAGTCGACTAGGCTACTTTCTCAATTACTTGTCTGGGTAACTCTGCAGCAAGCGATTTCTGTAACCAAATACTGCAACTGCTTGGAGTCTCAGAACCTAAACCCTAAACCAAATAAGCAACTTTAGGGTACGTTTTTGCCTGGGGCAGAACACATTTGTGGTAGAAGGAACGATATCCAGCGTTTGATACATGTACCCAAATGTATAAGCAATTAGTAGTCAGTCAAGTCATTATTCCTCTCTTTTTCTTTTTCTTTTTTTTTGAAACAAATGGGAAAACCAATTGTATTGATATATGAGGAGGTAGAGCAAAGTCTGAGACCCAACTAACTACCTATTATACTATGTAGGTGGGATCAATAGGCTAATAAATTGGGAGAAATATTCAGCTTATCAATTGCATTTGGTGAATGTATTACTTAATCACTGTGTGGTACACTAGAATTTTATCTAATTTTATTGCTTTTTTATTTCTTTGAAAAAAACAGTGTTGTTAGGCAATCATGCTTTACTTTATTGGATGATGAATTTGGATATTGATTTTAGTTGTATTTATTTATTTGATTTATGTTTTTATGTTGTTTTTGTTTCTTTGGATTAAGAACCATCTTGTACATGATTGACTTTGCCTAATATTGTAATGTTTTGGTTTAGAGGTACTTCCGAAACTTTTGCATTTTAAATTTTGTAGTTTGTTGTAAGCATAGTTGACAAAATATTAATGAAAATAAATTGATTGTAGATCTCTATTCATTAATTTTATTTTTTTAAATATCTAATCAGTTAAATTATCATAGTTTTTTTTAGACCTAATCTTGAACCATGTCTCTTTATAAAAAAATATAAGGTTTTGTTCTACAACTCTATTTTGTTTGAAGAAGCTAGATGCAATGGAGATTTCAATGACCTAAAGAATTTTCTACCAATTTTTGCCATATTATTGTTTTTTCTTCTGGTTCTTCTATTTGTTCTAAAAAGTTTAAGAAAAGATCTTCTATAGTTCCATAAGAGAATTTAGTGTCTATAGAGAGGTCTTTTCTTTAACTTTTACAATAATAATCACCTTAATAAATTGAACAAATTTACAAATTTGCAAAAAAATGATTATCCTCAACATGAGCTTGTCAAATTATAAATTATTTAACAATATTTTTTTCCAATATAAATTTAGTTTGTACCATATGATAGTAGAATCCCCTCTTACAAGGTATTTATCAAATTGGCTCAATATAAAGAAGACAAATACTTTATAAACTCTTTGTTCTAAATAGTAATGCCAAAAATTGCATTTTTTTGTCTTTTTTATAAATAAAAAATATATTAGCATCCAAGATACTTTAATTCTTTAAAGACCATTCTCCAACAAATCTACAGGCTTTGATATATGTTGCAATTATAGAGATTTCTTGATCCTATTATAATAATATAATTTTTATAATGTAAAAAGATGTGAATAACTTTAGTTAAAGGTAAAGAATTTTTTTAGCCATATTTTTTTTATCTGAATTTTATTTTAGATCCAAAATTTTATTCATATTATAGAAGTAGAATCAAAGGTATATCATACATCTATTATTTTCCTATGTGAAATCTAGCTTGACATGGCACCTAGAATTTGGTTGTACAACTTTATCTAAACCTTAAGGTTCTTTTAATAATTCGAAAAAATCCATAAGATATTTTGAAACACTCATATCTTAATCCTTCTACAATCCTAAACTCAATCAATTCTAACTTTAATGAATACTAAATCATACATCTGTTCAATTATAAACAACTTAAACAAAATTCTAAGCAAGTTTCAAGAAATCCCAAGTGTGCTTTATCAAACCTTGGAGAAATCTTAGGTATATTCTATAAAATTTTAATTAATATCCAAATAATCATAAATAAAATTTGTGTGATTATAAAAAAAATATTAAAAAATCTTTTAAAAATTCTAAATAAATTCTAAATGTCTTAACCTTAATAAAATCCTAACAAATCCTAACCAATTTCTCACAAACCTTAACAAATCTCAACCATCAATTTCAAAATCATATAACTTTTTAATCTATAGTTGATTATGCTTCAAAAATTTACACATCTTTTAGTCTTTTAGTTGGAAACAAGCTCAAGATATTTAAAAAGAATCACTCATATAAATTGAGAGAAAAGACAAAAAAATAGCTTAGGTGACAAGTGACCTCCTTCTCTTATCTTATTATTTCTCCCAATGCCAAGATTTATTTTTGCTACTATAAATTTGTTGTCAAAGTTTGTATAATTTTGATCTTCATGTCAATTACTAATTAAAATTTTTCTAGCTTAAACTAATTGGTGAAACTTTGTAAATCTTTAATATCCTTATTGACCTTCAAACTACCAACTACCAACAAACTACCAACACAATTGAATTTTAATAATTTCAAATTTGACCAACATACTAAGTTCAAATTTAGATTGCACACTTGGTATAAGTATATGCACAAATCCTTAAATATTTAATTATGGATTTTATATCAAATTTACAATAATGCTCAAATTATAGATTTCAATTTATTGCTTAATAATAGAATTATCAAATAAAACTTTAAGTTTGCTTAGCTCTCACAAAGTCAATACAAATTTTCTTTGCATGATTTTAACACTTATAAAAGCCTTTTCAAAGTTTTATCATTATTCCCACTTTTTGATCCACAAAATAACCTTGTGTTTGATGTTGGCGCTTTTTTTCATGCCTTGGACTCTGATTTCAACTATGATTCACAAATGATCCTTTCTATAAGTCAATCTAAGTTTTTCTTTGATAAATTTTGACAAAAATTACCTTTAGCTTTCACCTAAAGATTTATATAATAGTTTTATATTTAATCTACTTTGCCTTGTCTTATTTATGGCCCTAAAACCTAAATAGAAGTTCCTATAACAAAAAAAGTCACCAAAAACATTAAAACTTATACTTTGCCCTATCTATTATTTATGATTTCTAAAGGAATTTTCTACTAAATTATTAATTGGACCCTTCTAAAATATTTGTCTTTATTTACTTTTTCATCTAATGGTCCTATTAAAATACAATATTTTTCTTTTATAGGCCTATATTTAATAAATCTAATATTTAATAAATTTTAATGCATTAGATTCTTATGGACTTAATGTACTTATGTCTTATTATATCTTCTTTAATAATAAAAAATTGTGTTTGTGATCTATTATTGCATGTAATTGTTTGTGACCTTGTGAATATTAACTTTATTGTATTTTCAAACTAAGAATAAAGACCTATCTCTTCTATCATCAAAAGTTAAAAATTTCTAAGTAATTCTGTATATACATTAGAAAAATCTAATTTCAACAATATAAATGTGTATTTTAATTTCTTGGTCGAATTAATTGTCTCTTGATTAAGATATTATCCAAAAAAAATGTACATAAAAATCATTTAATTAAGATAAATTATTATTATAAAAATTAGTTTAATTCTATGTTAGACTTTAATCTTTGAAAATCATTTATATAAAGTAATGAAGAGCATTATAAGCCTCCAATCATAGATTTTTTGAAATTTCAAGTTTGTTGTAAAATAAGTTATATTATCTACAAAAATTGTAAAAAGTTGAAAAATTAAAGCTCCAAGGTTATACAAGCTATTTCCAGGCTTTACTTATTTACATCTCTATGTTATTCAAGTGCATTTCTACATTGCACTCATATAAGCCTTAATCCGTCTTTTCTACTCTATTTTAATGAAATTAATTTTTGAACATTATTTATCTCAAAACTTGATAAATGTTTTTGAACCATGTGTTATGTAGAAAAAAAGTGTGTTCTTACATATTACATAAATGTTGTGACAAATCAACTATTTTAGAAAGTATTTAAAATAAGTAAATAAAAAATCTAATAATTTCTACATTAAGAATTTATATGTAAAATCATCATGAAAAATTAAAAATCATTATATTTTTAGTGTAAAATTTATAACATATTTGATGCATTTAAAGATATTAGAAGCTGTAGATTAAGAATTAAAAATAAATAATTAATTCATTTTTTGTTTTTTTTAAATAAAAAAATAAACTTGGAGGACATAACACATTTTTTTAAGATATCAAAATTTGAAAGTAGGCATTCTAAAATTTAAATTGACATCTTTATACTTTTTTAAAAAATAATAATTGAAAAAATTACAAACATTTGTAGAGACATTTGGTAGAACTTTGGATGACATTCATGAAAGTTTAATCAAAAAATAATCAAAAAATAAATAACATAACATAACATAACATTTAATTTTTAGTAGCACTGTATGAATTTAGCTGTGAATAAAAAGGGAATCTCTTAAATTTGCGTTGAAACTTTTTTTAAATTAATTTAGACTATACTATATTGTTCTTCAAAGTGTTACAAGTGTTTTTTTACAAATTATATTTAATATTTTTTTAATAATATTTTTAAATGTTTCAGAATAGTTTTAAAATTGACATTCTAAAAAAAAAACTTTCAAAACAATCAACACAACATAGTCATTCTACAACAAAAATATTGAAGCATATGTTGGGCGTGGCACAACACAGATTTGAGTTTTTCTACATAAAAGTTTGACACAGTCGACTGAACGTAACTAAGCTGTGTTTTTTAAGCACAATTGGCTAAGATGCGAATAGATGTTTGCAGTGAAAGAATTCGAGTTTTGCATATCCAAGTGGAGAAGACTGCTTGATAGAAAGCCCCAACAAGCTAACAATGAGCCATCGATCGCCGATGTATGAGACCTATAACAAAAATGGCTGGATCGTGAAAAAGTTTATGGATACAAAGAGACGGCAATTGCTGGATTCTCCCATACAATGTTTACGGAAGTGTGCAGAACTTGTGTTACTACTTCAGTGATGGAAACTCCTGGGAGCTATGCCACAAACTAGCGCCACGTCGGATCTTTTTACACTTGAAAAAAGTGTCACATACTCTTGGTGTGCCCCATCATATTGGGAATCTCAATATTGCAAAGGAGTGGGCGATACAGAAACTGATACAACCTAGCTGCCGTTTAGGGACATATGCTCGAAGAAAAAAGGGTACACTAGGCTACAGCTTAATATACTAAGGTAGGTATCAGTTGCTCAGATTCGTCGTCCTCTACTTCCATGTACTCGTACCAGTCAGCAGCATTAACCCCTACCGGAATCGAAGGCCTCATGAAAACCTCTACGGCCTTAGGAGTGTAAACTCTTAATCTCACCACATGATTTATGTAACCAGTCTCTTCCTCCTCACTATAGACGACTCCCACAGCAATCCACCCAAGTCCTGAGATTGCCAGATCCCCTGCAGGCCTGTAAGATATCAATTGCACAAAAAAAAAATGCCTTAAAATGCAAGCAGAAAACGATCATGATTACACCATGGATATCGATAGCTGCAGAAGCATAAAGAGATTCATCCCTGATCGGGCTACAAGTTTCGTAATCGGGGAAAAGTTGCAGCATATCGGCTTATACAAATTCCGTGCTTTGCACGTTTGCACAAAGGGCTAAAAAGGCATAATCGAAGATGAACCACCTAAATGCAAAAAACCAAACAGAAACAAAGAAAACAAAGCTCAAGTCTACTTCGCATGAGGCTAAGAACTGAGCAACAGAAAACGATATACCTTTTACGACTGTTCACAGTAAATCTAACTACTTCTTGGTTGACTAATCCAGGCCAGTTTTTGGCTCTATCTCCTCCTGGAGGAAACAGTCGCACGCCTACTTCTTTCTGCAATTTCCAAGGCCACACAACATGAAAAATGTTAAGATTCAATTCAACGCTTGGAAAAATGTGGGGGAATGAAGTTTGAATACCTCATAAAACACCTCAGCCTGCGGTGTAAGAGTTCCAAGAACTGGTATCGAATTAGGTCCATAGAATGTGAGCGCTATATTTTCTGGAGCCTGGAAGTCCACCACATGAAAGTTCGTAAGTATGCATGCAGTGTATGCAACCATGCACTGTGTTGCTGGAAATCCCTAGATGCAGATATCAACCACCTGCCACATTAAGAAACACCTTAAAGCGAAATGCTAAGAGCTCACCTCAAGCACATCAATCCGAACAACCCCTCCCCAAAATATTGACTGCCCGACGAGACTCAAAGAAGGATCTGGAGCTGAAATGAGCCTTCCAGCCAAACGTTTTCGGGGTGCGAGGAGGGGGAGGTCCTCGGGACTAACTGCAGCCGCCAGTCGGTGATGAAGATGCACTCCAGGCGTGTCATACAAGCTCTACATTCGACATTCATGTTGAAAGGGGTAATGAGGCTACAACAGTTGCTCAATTCTGCTCCTTCATTAGACATGCAGTTAAATGCAGGAGACACAACAGCCTCTAAGTAAAAAGCAAATCAAGCGTGTTTAAGAACTTATTATGGTACGCAAAATAAAGGTCCGCGAGGGCAAGTGGACAGAAATAAAAATGCTTTAGTGGTGAGTAAGTACCCCTCCGCCACTGAAAGCATCTATTTGAATAGGTCCAAGAGTAGTGCCAGGCATGGCAGACTGGATGGGCCTAAACCTTTGCGCCGCTGCTGCAATTGGGTCACGCTCGCCCATGTCTCCTGCAACATAAGACCCGATGAGTGCACGAACAAACGTTACACAAAATTACACACCATAAAATAATCATATCATGTTCTAAAGTCATGGAAACCGGTTCTCAAGTGAGGTTTTAATCTTCTACAGAGCGATGCCAGCTATACAAAAGAGAAATATCTTTCTCAACTTTTTGTGCTGCACATTAAGTGAGCACATAGTAACGTGCTGAGACTTGACACTAGGTGGCATACTAAAGATATCCAGAATTTGCGTATCTTGCAAGTACACCTCACGAACCATGAGTTCGATGCAGGAATGCACTTACGTAGCAGAGTACTTATAAAGGCAGATTTTCCAACATTAGCTGATCCCTGCATAAAAATCACAGTTCAAACAATTAATTCCACAAGAATAGATGAAATACGACACCGAAGCATCCATCTTGACTCTGATCTAACACATTATGATCTTAGTTACGCTAAATAAATTCAAATAACAATTCATGATTACAAACTACATTGACTCCTACATAAATGCAGCAAACATGTGAATCTTTAATCAAAAAAGAAAATGTTCGAATGATTTATTTACCAGAACATAGACGTCTCGACCCTGCACAACAATGACAAAGGAGCATATATTAGAGGGATAATGAGACTGAGTAGTACCAGAAATAACTGCGAAGCTATTGATCGGCACGTATCCAGGACAAGTGAGGCTACTCAGAAGGGAGTAGTCAAATAAAGGGTGGATACAAAGAGTACAAGTAAACAAGTTCAACAAAGTAAAAACAAACTTCCCAAACATTTCATATACACTGATAATGAAGAAGCTACTAATGTACCGTTGAAGATATTGCCCAAAAGGAACTACATATGCGTTCCAGTCTCCGACTGGTATATCTGGGCCAGCATAGTTGTGCAGCAGAAGGAGCAACTACCATCACCAGTAACCTAGTTCAGGGTATAGGTAATACAAAAGAAGCAGGGTAAGACCAGATTTCGCTCGAAAATTTAAGGATTCGAACAATTAAAAACAAGATTTACCTGTCGCTGCCGTAGCATTAGAGCAGAAAATCCAGATATTCCAGTAGCAGCCTTGGCACTCGTTAAATGTACACTAATAACACTGCATGCAAACAAACCAATTTCGACGACCTGAGTCATATCAAAGGAATGAATCTTATATGGATGGGACACAAGTTATGAAGAAATTTACAACAAACAGACTTGTACCATAAGATATTAAGTATATTTGCAGAAATATTAGGATTGAGAAAAAAAATGATAACGGAATCGATTTGCTCAAACACCTTATACGGATAGAGAAAAAACAGGGGACTGCAGTGACTTACACTTGCAGGACAATCAATCAAGGCAATAAAAAATTGCTCTTTTGAACTTAAATAATTCATAGCTACAAACCCCTCAACAATTGTGTGCATCGAGAAAGGAAAGGCTGCAATGTACTATACTTGAGTTTTTTCGCAATAGTGGCCTGTATTACCCAGTCTCCTACTGCAGCCAAGTCTGTACCTTTCGGAAGCAGGTCTACCTTCATTCTTCGAACAGCCATATGATAAGTACCATACAAACAAAAATATACACCAGAACAGGAAGAATGAACACTGATAATATATACTTGTTTCAGTAAGCAGGATATTGTACCTTTGTCACAACCAGAATGATGGGATTAGAACCGACCAGGTCGCGAACTCGTGTTAAAAAGCTTCCATTAAAATCAACTATGTCAACCTGCAAAGAGCGGCCACGTTCTGATTGCTATAGGTAAGCAGAAACAGAAGACAAGAAAGTTACAACTAGCTGTTCGTATATAAGTCGGACATTGATGAAATGCTCTCAAAAATTAAAGAAGGCTTTGTACCAGTTTCACAATAAGAGCTTTCTCATATCGCAAGTGCGTCAGCTGGGCACGTAATTCGTCTGAAGAAACAAAGCCTTTTCCCTCACCGTAACCGCCATTCCCACTAACAGCAGGGATCATCGCACCTTGACTGAGCAATTGACACCTACCGCAAAGGACAGTCCCTAATTGATGGTGCTTCTTTTTCTGCGACAAGAATAAAAACAAAGTAAGGGCTCCCAAGATATTGCCCGTCGTAACGAATAAAACCCTCCTACAGTATCCTTCAAAACAATGATAATTAGACAAGAATTTACGCTCCAAAAACTTGTAAACCCCTGGAATATCGTCATTGCTAAACAAAACACAAGATGCACTACAGCAGTACAAGTAAAGAAATCTGCTAGTCTAAGATACCACGAATTATGCAAAGTTGACAGCTGAGCACTGCTGCCAAGACCTCTGGCGACCACCTAAGATAATGTTCACTTAAAACTTCTGGAGCCGGAGTTCACATCAATAAGCATTGTGATACCTCCCAAAGAACAGCTCCCCACAACTTGGTAAATTTATAGCTAACGATTAAAATTGCATTCCTTATGAACATAGAAACATTTATAAATTACATTATGAATTGTTAATATTTTGTTTCAACAAAAACCGTGTGGAGACAATTCGCAATGTGGTGCCACATGTATGCTTGCTTTCGCTGAAATAAAGATATACTGGAAATTGAGCAATTGAAAGCAAGTTTACGTCGATAAGATCACGACCTTGATAACACATCGAATGAAGACCATGGGTTTTTATTGAATGTTAACACCGAGATTCAATTCAACGCACTTAAAACTACTACAGCAAACAAACAATAATTTCGAAACATACCACTTCAAATATATCAAGAGAAAGGAAACCCGGCGCCTCAGCGGTTGACGATTGCAGGACTGCTCCACATCCATAGCAGCAAGGCTCGTCTCGCCTTGAGACAAACGCTGCCAACTTCTCCCTCTTCTTCTTCCTCTCCTTCTTAGACTTAACAACCAATTCTCGAGCAACTTCTGTTTCTCCTGATGTAATTAAATCGCGAGCCCCCAAGGCTCTCTCCAAGAAGATTTCTCCTCTGCTCTTCCCCGTCACATTGGATGCAGCATTCACAGTAAAAGAATTTCCACCTTCGTCCTCTTCGCTAATTGAATCCCCCTTCCCTGCCCCGTAACTAGCCGCTAATCTTTGATTGCTGCTTCTTCTTGGACTAGGTCTAGAATTACGTTCTACAGGTGTAGGTAAGGAGTTGGTTGACAATGTATCCCTTCTTAAGCTCTGACGATGTGGCTGCCACTCATCGGATACCCTAATACTACCTTCCCAGTCGTCATCTTGGTCTACTGCAGTGCACCTCAGCTGCAAAAATTGGTGCTTCTGCGCGTTTCGCACTGACGAATCTCTAAATTTCTCTACTCGGGTGAAGCTCGAAGTAGGGAGCCCGAGTACATGAGCTGCAGCCAGAGACTTCTCCATTTCTAAACTCGATAACAATTCGCTCAATTTAAGAATCTCGAATTACTAATCATATAGCCATATAACTAAAAATTCCTACCTCCTCAAAATCCAAAAGAAATCGAAATCCGGGAACACTTGCGCCACAACGCCTCGCGGATTCTTAAATTTATCCTTCAACTCAAAACCACGCTAAGTTTGGCCCGACAAAGCGCATTTCGCCAACAACAAGCCGAGAGGAATGCACGGAACTACAAATAACTAGAGAAAACGAGCTTGAAATTAGCTCCGAGGCTGTCGTCAAGCGCAATTCAAATCCTAAAACAAAACAATGAAAAAAAGAGTTTCCCTAATACGGTGTTGTCGAGCTTCAAATGAGCATAGCACAGGCCAAAAAAGGCCGTGAAAACAATCCTAAGGAAGCCCCCCCTTGTCAAAAGGTCTCGGTAAGTAAATCTTAGCTTCTTCTTAATGGGATTGAATGCCCATTACAACAACATTACGAAACATTGCGCCGAAATGTGATCCCCCAAAATTATCAGAAACACGTCGTGGCCGAGGGGGGGACAGTGGCCTTGACCCTCGCGGATAAGCCTCACTCTCTCACATTCAGGGTTTAGAGGTGACGTTCCCATACCTGCGTTCCCTTGTTCCCAACCCAACCCAACCCCCACTTGTTGAGTGTGTTCCCTTGTTCCCTTGCGCTTACTCGTGACGTGGTATGTATGTCATTTTATTTTATTTTATTCTAGTGTTTTTTTTTTTTTTTTTTTTTTTTTTTTTATCCCTCCTAAGGGTCACATGTTGGTGAAAGAAAATATGGTGGGAACATGGAAATATGGTTGAATGTGGGTTTCATGGTTGAGAAATACAATTTAGGGTTTGCAAACCCTAATATGTATGTATGTACTTATGTATATAAGACTATAATCTTACTTGATTGAGGATTTATTATTCTTTTTGACCTTCTATCTATCAAAGTGAATTGGATTGTGTGGATCCTATATGTATGTTTATATACACATTAAACTTGGTATGTTTTAAATATGGTTAAAATATCATAATTGAATTCTTTAATGCATCCTATGAATACTCATATATATGTATATATGTATGTGTATAAAAAAGTATTACAAAGGACCTAAGTAATACAAAAACTTAAAATAAATTAATTCATAAAATTTAATATAAATGCCAAAATACTAAAAAGAAAAAGGAAAAAAGAGTGTATGTATATATCTCTTATATAAAATAGATCAAGGAGATAAACCAACATGATAAACTAGAGGAGACAAAAACCATCTCTTATTTGTTGCATATCTCATTGTTTACATCAAAAGTATAGCAATAACTCAACTTTTGATCGATTAGAGATTAAAATTTGCATATTGTTGCTATAGATTGCAAAGAGTAGTAGTGCAAGATCAGTAGGCGTGGAGCTCAAGAACACCACAACATGTAACAACATGCAACATGGAGTTTCATGTAATATGAAACTTGAAACAAAATATTAATTTACAACACATAATTTACAATGTTTTTTTTGTGGCCCACAACATAGATTTCTACTAGTATGTATGTATGTCTGTATGTATATACAAACATAAGAAATAAAAACTATCTACTTTTTAAAATTTATATAATACTAACAAGTAAATAGCATAACTGTTAAGATAAATTTTAAAAAATAAAAAAATGACAAACATTGATTTATAGATTTGAAATTACATATTTTTTTAAATAAATAAATAAATAAATAAACAGCATAAGACATCAATTCAATATGGATTTCAGTTGCACTATTATTTTGCTGTAAATTGAGCACATCCTATAATTAGTATACATATGCCAATACATTCAATTCTGTCTTTAAAACTAAATTTGTTAAAATTTCCATATTTCAATAAATTATACAAAAAAAAAAAACATTACTTTCAAACATTATGTTCATAAGCAACAAAAATTGTGAGTATAAAAAATCTACTCTTGTATTTTTTTATGAAGTTATTTTTTTAAAAAAAATCAGCTATAAAATACACATGTATACAAACATATTCTGATTGAAAAACTACATATTGATTGTTGTTCTATCATCATAAATACCCTCAGACTCAAAAGAATACAGCAGTCAATTCTCATTTCTATCATTTTAAGATGCATACACAGTATAATTTCCATGCTCATTAATTTTTTTGGTTTGTTTGGTTATTAACATCATTTTATATTTTTCAAAATCTCATTTTAGTCACATTTGTTTTTATAATGCTGAAAGAGTTGTAGACCCCCCCCCTTGTTTTTTCCTTTGTTGTTGTTGTTATTTTATTTATTTATTATTCTTATTATTACTATTATTATTTGATTATTATTATGATGGAAACTCCAACAATAGTTTAAGATGTATATGTATATGTATATATATATGGATATAAACAGAGTAATTTTATAAACAGAGAAATTTAGATTAGTAAGAATATGGAATGTTAACTCCAAATGCCTTAACACCATGGGCTGTGGGTGCAGTTTTACTGGTCATATGATAATACTACATGGAAGAGACTCTGGACCCAAGGGAGCATGGATTTTTCAACCCTAATGAGTATAATTCTATTACTCCATCTGACCACACTCCCAACACTACTACATTCTAGATTTCCCCTTCTTATCACAGTCCCACCCCATCTACACACTACACAATTGACACTCAACTCTGATTATTTGTTTTATTTTATTTCATTTTTCATCCTATCTTCCGTTATTTACCTAGATATTTTAACAAGAATGTATCTGTTCGAACGTTGGAAAACTCCAACAAAACGTTGCAAAAAAGAATGAAAACCCAACCTGAATGACACAGACGGTGGTATGTAGGTATGTTTGTTTGTATGTGAGGTGGGTTCCTAAATAGGGTTGAAAAAGGAGATAAATGTGAGTGTGAGAGAGTGTGAGAATGTGGCAACAAAGTGAGCACATTGATCAACAATGGTCTTGGGGCACCTCAGAAGATTGCAAAAGAGAAGAAGGGAATCAGATTGTTCCCTCGCTGTCCTTGCTGACAATACTCGTGGAGATCCACGTTTTGTATCAAATTCTGACGCCCTCCAGATCTGTCGATAGATGCAACTGGTTCCTCATGAACCCACATGTGCGGCACTCTATCTCATTCTGATATCTTATCGTGTTCTGAGGTTCAAAACAACATCCGCCGCAGCAATTAAGTTTTCCATTTCGTGGCCTAACGAGGGGTATTATTTCCGAGTTTTCTTTTTGCATTTCTTTCTTCTTTTTTTATTTTTATTTTTTACTGGTATTGGTTTGCGAGCAGTGCACTCCCCTATCAGTCAGGTGATACTCATCACAATACTCTGCACATACAATCCAAACGTTCAGATTATGTGTTCAAAAGTCTCGCGGTAATCACTGTACAATTGAATGTTGCTGTCTCGTGTTTAGACGAACTCTACGTCTGAAGGAATCACTCTCCACTGGGTGAGAAATCCCCGAGATCTATACTTCAAACCGTTCTTCCACTTTCTCCTCTATCACAACATTTGATGAGCTACAGTATTCTGTGCATGGAAAGAGGAAAATAAATATAAATAAAAACGATAATTCTGTATACTTATATCCATCTCTCTCTCTCTCTCTCTCTCTCTCTCTCTCTCTCTATATATATATATATATATATATGGTTGACACAAGTCTTTTTATAATACATGAGTGTTGAAGTGTACACGCCATCCTCAAAAATAGAGGGACGCGTATTTAATTATGCCAAAATTTCTAGATAAATGTACGGGCAACATCGCCACAAAAGTGTCTGCACAAAACTCAAAAGCTTCACATTCCACATGCTTTCCATTCTGTATCAATTTGATGCAACCAGGTTTACCTCCGAAGCCCCCAATGGATGATAGCCATGAATGCTGCAGCAAAGAGTAAAACGAACGTATTGCTCTACCATGAGGAAAAAAAAGTGATAAGTTTTCGTTTTATTCTCATGATTCCAGGTTATTTACATTCAATTGTACAGTGATTGCACTGTTACAATCACTACGCAACTGGTGATTCAGCCAAATGAGGAGATGATCTAAAACGGGTATGGTTCCTGGAGGCGGAGAGAGCCCAAGGCATGCTGTGGGAGCGGCACTAGATCTATTATGTGAAGTTAACGAGCCAGGAGATTCTATATTTTCTTCTTTTCTTTTCGCTGGAGTTGCCCGTTGGAGACAATCCTAACCTGCGGCTAGCAGTAGCTATAACCAAAATGCAATTAGAAACAATCTAAGGATAGTCAATAGCTACTTAAGAATTTTGAAAAGAGGACGCCATGTGAACACACACTCAAGCCGGAACAATTAGAGGGTGATAAGCGGTCTGCTGAGATGTAGCTCAATCTAGCCCAGTCAAGTTGACAGTAATTACGGGGGGTGATTAGAACCCAAAGATGCCATAAGCGGAAGAAAGAAAAAGAGGGTAAATAGGAGTTGGTTAGTGATGGAAGGCGGTGCAATCACAGCGAGAAGAGGGGTGTCTAAGACGATGGTCAAGGAAAAGGAAGCCCATGCGCCTGCAGGGCACCGAAGGCAGGGGTCTAAGTGGCAAGTATTGAGCAAATGGAGCCACAGTGTTTAATCGGGGGTTATGAGTCAACGAGATTTCAGGCCCTAGCAATGCCAATCTCATCCTGTCAGCTTCGGAGCCATGTGCTCTTCCCATTCTCAGCTCAACTGGCAGGCTTTCGCAGCCGGTGCTGTCAGTCATTTTTGTGAGCCGCATTAATGAAATTCACTGGACGCGACATGTGCAACCTCATTACCTGCACATCGTCACAACCCGATGCCATTGCAACCTCGACTTTGATGAAGAAGGATCGACCGCAATTTCTGCTTTTTTGCTCGTTTCGGTAAGCAATTGGGCTCAGTTCAGTTAGTCAGGGATTTCTGTAACACGGTCTGTCTAGTGTCTGATGAGCAAAGCTCGATGGCCTGCCTAGCCGGACTGTATGTACATACAACTAAAGATTAGATGATCAATTCAATCTGAATTGACTGTCAGAGTGCCAGAGCAGCATGTGGGGTCTCGTGCTCAGAGAATGCAGATTCTGAAGTACCACTCGCTCTCGAGGTCCTCCCCTGCAGAACGCTACTGAGACCTTTTCTTGACTTTAAGGCGCAGGACGGTCTTAAAGGAGTCGAGCATTCACTTTGTCTGGGGCAGTACAAGAGTGGACTATAGATCGTTGCGCCTTTGCTCTACTAGAATTGGAACTTTTGATCGAACTGAGAGGAGCTGGATTGGGAGTACCCATTGATCTGGTGGAGTGAAGGAGTTTTTTCTGCCCGACAGAAAAGTCGTTACAGTCATGGGTAGAGCGCCGGGTAATTGCGACGAGAAGGAAGCGGGGCTCCGAAAAGGACCGTGGACGCCAGACGAAGACCGCAAATTGGTGGCGTACATCCAAGAGCATGGGCACGGTAGTTGGCGTGCGCTCCCGAAGAATGCAGGTAGGCATGAACCTCTTTTTTCTTCTAAAACTTCAACAACGTCGTGCATAGAAGTCATCTAAGTTCGGTGATTTCACATCGGAGCGGCGCGATTGATCGAATTTAATGGCGTGTGTGTATGGCTGGAACATGTGCAGGTCTGATGAGGTGTGGCAAGAGCTGTAGATTGAGATGGACGAACTACTTGCGGCCCGACATCAAGCGCGGCCGTTTCTCCGAAGCTGAGGATCAGATGATTGTCCATTTGCACTCGATTCTTGGAAACAGGTACGCGTGAGTCCTCTCCGCAGCCTGTAATGTGTGCAATTCTGCTCAACTAGGTGAGAAAATGGATGAAGGTGAATACTTTCAAGTGGCTGAGCATCAGCTTCTGTTCTGCGATTTCTGTGTGTAGATGGTCGACTATAGCAGCGCATTTGCCCGGCCGAACTGACAACGAGATTAAGAATTATTGGAACACATACTTGAAGAAGCGCCTCCTACAATTGGGGATCGACCCAGTGACACACAAGGAATGCAGCACCGCGGACCTTGTGCTAGAGGGCGCAGACATGAATCCCTTGGTCTCGTCGACCTTAAGTCACATGTCGCAATGGGATAGGGTTCGCATGGAGACAGAGGCCAGACTCACCAGCGCCACCTCCTTCAGCAAATCCGCCGTAGCTGGTGGCATTATCCACCCACGGTCATCCTTCTCTGACCTCGAAGCTGTCTTGCAGCGAGTTCTCGGAAGTGATACATTCATGGGCCCCTGGAAATCTCAAGTCGCTACAGACAGTGCAAGTCAGCCGATTCCAGGTGCTGCTAGTCAAGCTGTATTTGCAGACCTCCAGAACGTGTTCCAAGGTTTAGAAGCTTCATCTCCTTCTTCTGCATCCTTCGAGAGCTTGTATAGCGCATGCGCGAATCAGCTGGCTGAGTCGAGTTCCATGAACAGCCATGGGAGTGGTCATGACGACTACCACAGCCCTGTCTCCAGCACAATTACGAGCTCCAAGCTCCTCAATCCTATGTCGCCCACTTCCATCCTCTCTCCTCTTTCGAACTCCTCCGATATACTCTGGGATTGCAACCAGGACACATCTTTCTGGCAGACGCAGCAAGTAAACGGCCTGCTCATGGACTCCAGCACTCAAACGCTTCCAGAGGCGTCATCGCATAACTATGACCAAGACCAGCTCATTGGTGAGCCAAATCTAGATGCCCGCTATGGCGATTCATCAACACGTGAATCCACTTTGAGATACCTTCTTCCTGAAAACTGTCACAGCTTCTACAACCTTGACTTTCCCCAATATCTATTGCAAACCAACTGTAAATCTACCGCAGCCCAAATTTTAAGTGCGGCGCCACATATTATTGGTAACCCAGTTTCAGGTAGGAAGTAACCTTTTAGTGAATTAGCTAGCACATTCTTTTGCACAAAATATTGTTATCTAGATCTCAGTCGGTCCGATACATTATACCTACTATGCTTGAGCTGAAGCTTACTTCAATTTGGACCTCCAATTACACTAGCAGGGGTAGATTATGAAGGAACCCCTTATAGGAATTCGATGACTAATTCTTTCGTTCAGATTATGCATGTTCTTGTGACATGAGATGTTATAGGGTTAGTCCAACCCTGAGTTACATAAAAATATGATGAACTCTCGTGCTCACATGCACATGGTTCTCTTGCGAATTCGTTGTTTTGAGAAGCTAGCATTACTTTGTCGTTTCATTCAGGACGTCGGAAATTGCATAGAATGTCGAGTAGGAAACTGCTGATGGGCACCCATGGCATATGAGCAGGAAGGTGGAAGTCTAAGATTCGATACTTTAGAATTCAACAGACTTAAGCCAGCAGCTGTCAGTCCACTAATTAAAGTTCCTGATCACACAATTTTTTTAATCTGATAATAGTGTGCGAGTACCCCCATTGCATAAGACAACTGAGGGACTGATTGCTATGCATTGATAGATAGGTCTGTTGATTGAAGAATCGGTATGATGTTAGCACCTCAAGTGGGTGGATCACTGTCGAAGCAACTGAGTTGGATACAGTGGTACCGTGGCATTTGAATGATTCATACAGACAGTGTCATTATATCACTTAACGAAGGAGGATGAAAACAAACACCATATGGTATCTGGTTAGGATTTGATTCATGGTTTTTCCAGAGAAAGGATTGTGTGATTCCAACTTCGTCAAGGATAATTTCATGACAAAGCTCTTAAGAACGGAAAGCTAGTATATCAAGTTCTTGATAGGCAAACTCTTTGAAGTCTAAAACAAATGTAAAGCTGGATCTGATTGATGATTCTTTTGCTCCGCAGTTGCTTTCCTGCACGCTCACATGCAGAAATGATGATCAAGGCCAGGAAGCTTCAGGTCATCCATTCAGAGCAAACAAACACATGATTTTTTGCTATGTACAAAATAGTGCACCAAGCTGAGGTCGACAACAGCTACTTGGAAGTTTTAGGCAAGTTATGAGAGTGCAGACAAGGGCTTAAGATTGCACTCACCACATATCATGGGTATCATGTGAAACAAAGTTAATAGCTCGACAAAACAGCCGAAACGACAACAGACAGAAATGCGTTCTGGAGACCCTGGCCAAGTGTAAGAACATGTTTGGACATTTGAGAACAGGTTTCAGCGGTCAGACACCATGGAGGCATGAAAGGAATAACTGAAGCTCAGCTCATGTAAAAAGCTGAGGAAAGTGTAAAAGGGGAAAAAGAAAGTTTGAGTGCAACTCTCACAGAACACTTCATTAGGTCTACGGAGGTCAGATAATCAATCAGTGGATCAGTGCTAGCCTCAGCTTGCAAGTCAGATGTTGTGCGGTACTGTGTACCACGCACTCCGCACCAGATGTATGATCTGTTGCGCACTTGAGAATATTGTACCAGGCTGGAGTCTGGAGTCTGGCTAACAGGTCGACATACAATTGTGATGAATGAAGTTGTGTTTATTTGCTAGAATAGCCGGAGAAGAAAAAAACGAACCACAAAGCTGGTCGCTGTAATTCAAGCAGATTTGTGGGAATGAACGTCTGAAATGAGGACACAAGCAGAGTCCAGTCGCTTCGACCAGCTTTAGATCACACAGACTAAAAGTTGGCATTGATTCGAAACTGTGCTTGACAGAGGAATCCGAGCACGAATGTAGCTGGATCTAGCTGAGACACAACGCCTGTCAACAGCCAGAGCCTCATGATACCAACTTCACAGCACAAATCCACGAGCTCACAAACAGGTGCTCAATTGAGGTTGTTCTATTGGAATCCAGGCTCTAGTTATTGAAGGCGCTGTTGGTGCCTGGCAGAGAGAGAATGAGGAGGGTACTGCATGGCGAGTAACGATTGCAGACGAAGAATAACTCTAATATCGGGCTCTGTGTGAATATGATTGATGCTCCTTCACTCGTATCAGTGCACTAAGAGGTAACAAATGAACAGCAAAGTACATCGCACGTTATTACTGACAGGGAGAGGCTTTCTTCTCTGCACCCCAGGCTCAGGCAAAGGGTCGGAGGACACCATGATTGATTGAACGGCACAAAATAATTTGTCCCATCGGATCATGCTCCTGTTGCAGCTACATGGAGCGTAGTCCTCTTCTCATGCTCGTTCCCGTCACCAAAACCCAAAATTCTCTCCCATACACTGGATTACAGAAAAGCAGAAAAAGAAAACTTAAGCATAAATTGTCTTCTCGAACTATTGTTCAATATTTCTGGTGCCAGTTTCTAATGAATGTTTCTCTCATAAGAGTTGAATGTATATTTACTGATTACGACAAGATAGTGAATGTATAAAACCGAAGATGAACGAAGTACAGCAGCGTTGCATCAAGAGACGCTGGGGCCCTTCAATCTCAGCCTTAATGTTATGGGATGGTGCCACCGAGCTAGAACTAATTTCAGAGCTACGCTTCAGCCGTATAATTGCATTCTAATTTCAGAGGGGAGAAAGCGTAAATTAGTCTCGAGGCTAGGGGTCCCCTTCTTTCATGAAAAGGCTAACTTTTTTTGGCGATTCCATTTAATTAGATGACTCAGGAACAGGTCTTCATCGCTCTGCACAATTGGGTATTATCTGGCTGCGGCTAGCCAGATGTCACTTGGGTATGGGCTGGACCAATAACCTGCTTAGTCTACAATGCACAGAACTTCCATATTTAGGTTAATTCAAAGGAGGTACTTTTGGATTCATTTCCGTTTCAAATTCACTTGCGGGAGAGTGGACCCCGGAATTCTACTTGAAATATCACCATTATGAGTTTCCAGTGATCCCCTTCTGCACCCAATGCCTTGCACTTGGCTGCAACCACCGTATTACTATTCTCAGAATACCAATAGTGTCAAGACAAGCCTTCGGAGCGTAAGAACAGAACCCTTGAATTAGGGCCCAAAAGTGAGCAACTTTATCTCCTTCGCTATTGGTTGCGAGCTCCAGATCTTGGATGCAATATCTATACTAGCAGGATTTTTCCAGGACGTCAAAATTATGGAGGAAGATGCTCCCTACTTAGCCTGAGCCAGCTCAGAACCCATTCAATTAAACTCCAGAACTGGTCACAAATGTCAATAGTAATATATGCTTCCTCCTGCTATCAATAGTAAGGTTTCTTTACAGATGAAATGATAGTCTAGATCTTCGCAAGCCTTGCAGGCTACAGTAGATTCAATTTGGCTTTGCACTAGTCGAGGCATATTATCTCAAGTTATGTTGTATGGTTGACAGGGAAGTGGAAGAATCTTCTGGCCTGTGCCAATGTACTGCATGATTAGATAAAAACCCTAGATCAGATGGTTATTATTCTGCCACTTGTGATGATTTTTCACAAGCTAACGCACCACAACGATGCGTATGACACCGAGCGGAGCATCAGATCATGAGAATTGGAAGGGTTCATTCAAGTGTCAATTCTGATCACATTTGGTGTCCATCATTACAATCACAGCCATCTGAACATGAGTGAGCAGTTACAGTTATATTGAACACTAAAGATAAATATAAAAATTAAAAACAAAAAAATCATGTTTCACAGGTGGGTTGGATGCACGTCTTCTGACAAGTCCAGCGATGAGTACAAAGCTTCATGACAAATTGGTCGCCTCCTGTCAACTCTATTGCAAACTGCAATATTAGGGGAATTAAATAGTGACTGCGGGGTAACATTCTGTGACCCGCCAGAGTCTGAACTTCAATGATTGAGAAAAAGGCAGCAATCACATTACTGTGCAGGGTTGCAGGGTGCTGACTGAAGAAAGTTGGGTACACAGAGGTGTTGTGTGAAGTACTTTGCATTCGAGAACTGTGTGTCCACTAACTGGAGGGAACTCTAGGTTCATTGATCGAAGAGGAAACATACAAATTAAGTATTGTGATGGGAACTCTTGGGATCAGTAGGGATCAGTGTTCTCATGTTGGGACTAGTATTGAAGAAGGGTGCTAACTCTAAGGGTAAGAGCAGTTGCTAACGCCCCCTTTTTCTCACAACTCTATTTTTGCCTAGTGATGATGGACCGAGCTCATCAACATCAGGATTTATCACTGGTGAGCTATTTTTCTAGGTTGGTTACGCTATTGGATGTTCAATCCATTTTTCAAGAGCTAATCATGTGATTGGAATGAGGACATGAACAAATTATTTTGATGTTATTTTGGTCAATTCTCTTGGTAGTGCACGGATGTATTGCAGAACTACTTTTGGTGATGGATTGGGTGATTTTTTTAGAACAAAACTTGGAGAGTTTAGAGCCAATGCAATCTTTGATTAGTTGTAGAGATGATTGTCCATCTTCAAGCGTGTCTTCTTCAGTAGGTGGAATATAAAAGACAACTTCTTCGGCATAAGTGCAATGTTATTATGTTGTTCAAGTAGGCAAACACACTAGAATCTTCTCAATTTGGGCAAAATGCAAAGGTGAAGTGATTGGTTGCTGAGGTGCTCAATATAAGAGCTTTAGAAGTAAGAAAGACTCTTGTAATTATTTAGAATCTAGAGACTATTTATAAGCTATTTAATAAGTTGAAAAAATAATTTAATTTTGTCAAGGATTTTAAAATTGGTTTTGTTTCTATCTTTTCAAACTTGGCCTTTTCAAGGGCTTTTGTCAAGATATGCACAATTTATTCAACAAAATTCTTGAACTATACTTGAATTGTGCCTTCTTTTATTTTTTCTTGTATAAAATATCGATCTACTTGAAAATATTTTTTTCTATTATGGAAGATTGGATTCTTTATTATCTTAATAGAACTTTAATTATCACATTCGATAGTTGTAGATGTGCCATCTCCAAATCCTAATTCATATATAAGTCATCATATTCAAACTAATTTGTGAGTTACTTTTGCTAGTACCTTGTATTTGGATTTATAGGAAGAGTGTGAGATAATATTTTGCTTTTTGTATCACCACAAGATGGATGAGAAATATGAAAGTATTGGTGGATGTACAATCATCGGGATTTCTAGTATAGTCAGCATTTAAGAATTCCAAGAGTATAATTTCTTCTTTCTTTGGATACAAAAGGCCAATAGAGGAATGTCATAGAAGATATCAAAAGACATCAAAGATTGCCTATAAGTGAATTTGTTGGAAGTGGTGCATGACTCAATTAAAAATAAAGATTATAAACTTGATGTCTAAGCAAATTTTAATCAAATAATTTAACTCACTCACAAGACATTGA